CTCTCCGCTTAATGCGCCCGCCGCTTATTGAGCCCAATTTTGTCTGGGCCTGAGCCGGCGACTACTGTACTAGGGAGATTGGTCAGTGGACCTGAACACGAACTGACTGTTATCGGCCGGGCAGTTAGACGTTTAGAAGTGTTCGCTAACACATCCTTGTCAGAGCAGAGCTTGACTTTTAAAACCGTAGGAAACTTGCACCAGTCAGATGAGTGGATTTTACGACGGCCGCAAAAAACACAACCCGGGCAGTCGACAAACCGATCTGCCACCCGCCTTCCAAACCCTGCGCACACGAATAAATAGCGTAGCCACGTGCTGTTCTCTGTGGAGTTGTAGTAACTACTCATTAGTTATGGACCTGAGTGCCAGTGTAAAATGTCAGAAAAATAGATAATTAGTTTCAGAAATTGCCCCCTCTCACCTTCTGTTAGTCGCTAACATGAATCCAGTAAACTGTTTACCTTATTTAAATCTTTTTCATAAGCCACGGTGTAAAATCAAAGGTAAACAACAGTTTGCTATGGACGTACCTTGTTGGTAAAGGAGTAGGAATTCAAGGGATCCTCGGCAGATAGCAGGGCGCTACTGATGAGAATGCAGGCCAGCACCATATTCGTGAAGATCGGTGAAGACACGATGTTGTGGCAAAATACGCGGAATCTGGACGGGACAGGGAATACGCGAAGGTGGTGAAAAAGCAACACAAATGCACCAATCACACACACGCATACACTGCAAATAAGAGTTACGCTGCCTGCTCACTTATTGGTCGGAGAAAAAATGAAGAAGGCAGAGTGCGGCGGGATACTCTGCGGACTGCTCGCATTAATCGCCGCCTCGAATTTTGCGGCCACATTGCGCGCGTCATTTTCGTCATCCTCTTCGGCAAACATCTCATCATAGGTAAGCTCCATGTAGGCTGAAGGGCGGAGAATGTACATATAAGTAGGCTGTGAATTTGGACAAAATTTAACAGGACAGGAGAATGAGGGCAGACAGAGGTGCGTACAAATCATCAACTAACAGCTTTTGCTTTTTAACAATTGACTAAATGTTATAGTACAGCAAGGAGGCTTTGGCGCTCGATTTGACCGCCGATTATAACGATGTCCTCTACGTGCTTCGGCAAGCTGCGGCAAATGCAGTGCCTTGCGCGTGAATTAGTTTTAAGAGGTAGTAGACTCGCGCGGCACTTATCACAGTCGTCTTCCCTCACTTATCTGGGCCCGTTATCAAGACTGTCAAGAAAACCGGAGGTGGGGTCGGGTGCAGTTGGCTGGCGCAACCGAAGCCGTCCCTATACCTGCCCCGATACGTACGATCCTAATTGAGTGGGCGTGCCATTAAGACCACATTAAGTAGGAGCCATTGCAGTCTCACTCTAAATCCGCCGATTAGTCACTCACACAAAAACTACACGTTGGACTGACCGCACGGTCCGCGTCAATCGGCAACTCTCCAAGACGCGGCTTTT